AGGGAGGAGGAGGAGGAGAGAGAGAGAGAGGGAGAGAGAGAGAGAGGAAGGGCTTTGTCTTGTCGTACGGTCTGCAAAGAGGGCGTGGAGGCTCTCAAGGTGCCTTCGCAGCATGGTGTTCTCAGAGGTGAGCTTGGCTACTTGCATCTCCAGTTTGACCACCCGGAGAGCGGGGGGGCCCTCTTCCGCCATTCGAAGGGGGGAGGGGGGGAGGGGGGGGAGATTAGCGAGAGATCGGGTCGTGATTGCAGGGCATTAGTGCAGTGATGGGGTGAGGAGGGGGGTTGATGGTTGTTGTAGAGTGATGGTGGAGGGAGGGAGAGAGAGAGGAGCGAGAGGGTGTGTCTGGCGTAGACAACTTGAGCATGACGATCAGCGCCGCAGTATCCGCTTGGTCCCACACTCGCCGCAGAACTTGGAGTCTGACCGCAGGTAGCGAGTTCCACACTCGCCACAGAACGGCGCTGGCTGGGAGGATCGTGGTAAGGAGGATCGAGTTCGGCCACGGGCTCTGGCTCGAGCTGGGGCTGGGGAAGGAGATGACGATGACGGCGGTGGCAGCGATGACGGCAGCGGACGGTAGGGGCGGGACTGCTGCGGATCGAGGCGGACCGAGCGTTCGGGTTTGGAGGAGTGGGGCGGAGCGAGAGCGGCGGTATCGGCGACGGGCGGCATGTAGACGGCGACAGAGCCGTCTGCGGTGAGGGGGATGTCGAGGGCAGCGCCGGTAGGGATGTGTGGGGCAAGACCAAGCTCGTCGGCAAAGACCATAGCCTGCAGTTCGGGCGCATCGGCAAGCGGGAGGAAAGCGGCGTCGACGGGGAGGCCCGCGGCGGCACGTGCGGAGCGCGAGTCGACGACAAGCTCATGGTCGGCGTAGCAGCCGTCACAAGCGGCGCAGCGAAAGGCAGCGGAGAAGGCGCGGCAAGAGCAGCCGCGCGAGCGACAGCGTGAGTCGTCGCCGCGGCGGTGGACGTCGTAGCCATGGCTGCAGCTGCACTTTGGCCGCCAGCGGTCGAGGCGGAAGCCCCGGCGGCGGACAAGGTGGCTGTCGCCAATCTCCTCGGGCCGTGACGGGATGTAGCGGAAGCCGCGGCAGGGGCATGGCGGACCATCGGCAGCCAGCCGGGCGGTGCAGCCCACCAGCGGCGTCCGCAAGTCGTGATCGGCAAAGGTGTGGCGGCAGAAGCACTTGGACGCCGATCCGATGCGGGTGCAAAAGTCGCTCGCGGCGGGGTTCTCCGGCGCACTGCACCGCCACAGCAGGTACGTGCTGGACGTCATCGCCTCCCGCGCAGCGGCATACTCAGCCCGGAGCAGGGCAGCCGCGCCAGGCGCCACGCCGTACCGCTCCACAGCGGCCGAGATCCCGTTGACCGAGCCAAGCTGCATAGAGACGAGTGGGTTTACAGCTAACACGCTTGGGGCCGGCCGGCAGAATCCGATGGCCGGGAGAGATCAGATCAGGAGCCAGGTGGGGGCGGGGCCGGGCTACTTGCGAGCGGCGGAGGAGCGGGCGTTGGCGGCGGACGAGTTGAGGTTGATCCGTGTGGAGGAGGCGGACTTTGAGAGGGCGGCGGAGGACTCGACGGACATGCGGAGCCAGATGGTACGGAACTCTGAAAAGTCGACCTCGCCGTTGCCGTCTGCGTCCATCTCCTCGACCATGGCCTTGACCTCGTCCTCTGTGACGTTGACGCCGAGCTTGAGCATGCCCTCGAGCACCTTTTCGGCTGTGAGCGAGCCCGAGTTGTCGCGATCGAGGACGTTGAACATGTGTCTGATCTCTGAGCTCTCGTCGCCGTTGACGCCCATGAGCAGGGTGACAAACTCTGCAAAGTCGATGCGTTCGTCGTTGTTGGTGTCGGCAGCGACAAAGACCGTCCGCGTGTATGCTTCGGTGTACTCGAGGCCGAGGGCGGTAAAGGTCTCAAACAGCTCGTCAAAGTCGATGACCCCGTCGCTCTTGCGGTCAAAGAGGGCAAAGTTGTCCTGCATCTCCTTCAGCTGCGTCTCGTTGAGCTGCTCCATGGTCCTCGAGCACACAGCAGACAATGGCGTGGAGCAGTGTTCGAGGGGGAGAGCCGTAAACGGCAGAGAGCCGTAAACGGCGGAACTTGGGAAGGGCGCGAAGGGAACGGAGAGCGGAAGGGGGGGGGGCGGAGGGTTCTGATCTGTGGGTTGCAAAGGGGGGGGATACGGAGGGGAGGAGCGTGGATTGCAGGGGGGAGGGGGGAGGGGTACGCAGCTAGTTGCTCTGTATTGATGGAGTGTGTTTGGTTAGTATCACTCCACATGGTGTTTGGTTTGCACGTTTCAGCTGATCATGCGTCAATTAGTTTGTCAGCAAAAGTCTGACGGTCGGCACTGATGCGTAGTGGTTGGCTAGGGCAGCAATGGGTATCGATCAATACCATCCGTATCGTTCACTCGCCATCAGTCGAGCAAGCACTTCTGGGCATGGTCGTCTTGGTTCTCAGTCATGCCATATGGCCGCCGGCTACAAGCTGCCGTCTGTGGCAGCCACTCGGCCGGCCAGCCGTCTCTGCAGCGACACTTTGAGCACATCATGTCGACCAGCAATGAGACAGCAGGTGTCGGTAGCGGGAGCGCCGGGAGCGAGCTTGCCATCGGGGCCCTGTTTGCAGTGAGTGGCAAGCGTGTGCTGGTGACGGGCGGGAGCCGCGGCATCGGCCTGATGGTGGCCCATGGCTTTGTGGTCAACGGGGCACAGGTGCTGGTCACCTCGCGCAAGGCGGGCGCGGTGGCCGCTGCCGTCGAGTGGCTACAGGCCGAGGCCTTGGCGAGCGGTAGCGGAGGGTCGGCAGACGGCATGGCTGCAGACGTCGCCGCCGACGACGGCGTGGCTGCCGTGGCCGAGTGGGTGGCGGCCGGTGGTGCGTCGCTCGATGTGCTGGTGAACAACGCGGGGACAAACTGGGCAGCGCCGCTCGACAAGTATCCGCTGGCGGCGTTTGACAAGGTCATGCGGCTAAACGTGACGGCGGCATTTGCCCTCACTCAGGCGCTGCGTGGCGCGCTGGCAGCGGATGGCGGTGGGGCGGTGATCAACATCGGCTCTATCAACGGGATCAAGGCGCCCAACATGGAGACGTACGCGTACTCGTCGTCCAAGGCCGCCGTCCACCACCTAACCCGCCACCTGGCTGGCTTTCTCGCCGACGACAACATCAGAGTCAACGCTGTCGCGCCCGGTCCGTTCCCATCCAAGATGATGAAGGCGACGCTGGAGGCGTTTGAGGCGGCCATTGTCGCTGCTGTCCCGTTGGGCCGGGTCGGCGCCGCGCCGGACATGGCCGGCGTGTGTCTCTACCTCGCGTCGGCGGCAGCAAACTACGTGACCGGCGCAGTGATTCCGGTCGATGGCGGAGCGCTTGTTGGCAACTCGTCGGCACTGTAGGCACCGCCGCTCGGCGAATTTAGCGTGTGGCCAGCAGGCTGGGCGTGGGCGGGCTAGAGGCCGAGGTCCTTGGCAACCATCTTGGCGCAGATCGGGTGGTAGCGCTCGCGATTGGCGGTAAAGGTGGCGACAGCAATGTCCTTGCCGATGGTCGAGGCGTGGAGGGCGCGGTAGGTAGGACGGGTGAACTTCATGCGGCCCTGCGAGGTGACGAGGCGGACAGCAACGTCGATGATGGGCTCGTAGTCGGTCTTGATGGCGAGAATGACCCAGGCGAAGAGGATCTCGTAGTTGCCTGAAGACGAGAGGCCATAGGCGGCGTCGAGGGCGGCGAGGGTGGGCGGTGGGATGACAGCGCCGTCGGCCTGGGCGGCGACGAGATCGTCGAGAACCTGGACGACCTGGCCCGAGTGCCAGCCGGCGATGTCTGCAGCGTCGCCGACAAACTCGGGGTGGCGCCCGAGGCGTGGGCAAGCCACTTGGCGGCGAGGTCGTGGCAGGCGACGGCGAGCGAGTCGTCAAACACCGGAGTGACCGGCGGCATGCCCGGGGCGTGGAACCAGGCCTGCCAGTCGATGGCGTCGAGGACGGCCGGGTCGACCGAGTCGGCAAAGTGGGCGAGGAAGAAGGCATGCCACTCAGCGGTGGTGACCGACTTGTTGGCAAAAGCGGCGACGTAAGCCTTGAGGAAGGCCTCCATTGGCTCGATGCCGCCGACGAGCGACTCGAGGTGGAAGAGGAGGGCAAAGCCCTTCTCGTACGGAACCGAGGAGAAGACGTCGTCGGGATCGATGCCGCCAGAAAGGTCAGGGACGAGGCAGGTGTACGGGTGGTCGGCGCCAAACACGTCGTTGACGGTTTTGGAGAGGGTGGCCCAGCCCTGCATGGCCTCAAACTGGCGGAAGGCCTCGCCGTGGAGGTTGCCGAGGAGGCGGCGCTCGACGTAGACAGTGTGGCCCTCGTTGAGCCAAAAGTCGGACCACGAGGCTGACGTCACAAGGTTGCCCATCCATGAGTGGCCGATTTCGTGGGCGACGACGTTGACGAGCGAGCGGTCGCCGGCGAGGAGGGTCGGGGTCACGTACGTGGTGCACGGGTTCTCCATGCCGCCGTAGGCAAACGAGGGCGGGAGGACAAGGAGGTCGTAGCGGCCCCAGACGTAGGGCCCAAGCAGGTCCTCGCCGCCGGCGACAAAGGTCTCGGTGTGCTCGCCAAACTCGTACTCGCAGGCATCGATGAGCTCGGGCTCGCAGAGGACCGACGAGCGCGGGCCGACGGGCTTCTCGGCGAGGTTGCCGACGGCGATGGCGAGGAGGTACGACGGGATGGGGACCGGCTGGTTGAAGTGCCACACGCCGGCAGCCGCAGCCTCAGCGGGATCGTCGGCGAGGAGGGCGGACATGACGACGCGGAGCGGCGACGGCGCGGTGACGGTGGCCGAGTACGGGGCCTTGATGGCCGGCGAGTCCTGGCACGGCACGAGCGAGCGGGCGTGGATGGCCTGGCACTGCGACATGAGGTACGGGTGCTTGCCGCCGGCGGTCTGGACAGGGGCGAGCCACTGGAGGGCCGACGCCGCCGGCGAGGTGGCGTACGCCACGGTGAGCTCCAGCGCGGCGGCGGGAGCGACAGGCTGCGGGAGGGTGATGGTGAGCGGAGCGCCGAGGCAGCCGTCTGCGCCCCAGGCGTCGCCGAGGGCAAACTCGCACGCCTCGCCCGCCGCCGTCGTCACGCCCGAGATGGTCAGGTCACGGGTGTCGAGGACGACCGAGGCGGCAGGCTCGGACGAGCTGTTGGTCAGCGTCAGCGTCGCCTTGCCGGTAATGGTCTGTGTGGCAAAGGAGACATCGAGGTCGAGGGCGAGGTTCGTGGTGGTGAACGTGTCGAGGTTGGCAGCAGAGGTAGCGTCGGTCATGGTGGAGAGGAGTGGTGGCGGGGGAGGGCTAGGCCGGACGCCGGTCACGAGGGACGGGAGGAGAGGGAGGGGGGAGGGAGGAAAGGGGGGGGGGAGGGGGGGAGAAGCTGCAAGGGTTTTGTTATCAGGAGAGTTGATGAGCTGGAAGGGATGCAAGAGGAAGGCTAGGATGATGATGATGAGAAGAAGGAAAAGACGCCCGTGGGGATGGCGGCGATGTTCTGGACGAGTGACTGGAAGTAGTTGGGCTCGTCGTTGTGCATGGTGTCGTCGAAAAAGTACTGGAGGGTCTCTGTGATGGTGCCTGGGCCGATGTGGAGGCGGGAGAGGAAGAGAGCCCCGGCCTCACGGTCCGAGACACCCGGGAGGAATCGGAGGACAATCTCCTCTGTGCAGGCTGAGAGGTCGGTGCCCGTGCCGAGCGAAAGCATGGTCATGAAGAGCGGCGCAAAGCGGCGGAGGACGTTGTAGGCGTCGAGGCAGGTCTTTGAGAAGAGCTTGCGCTCTTCGTCCATCATGGCGTCGCGAATGCCCGGGGTGAGGCGCATCCAGGAGGCCGGAAGGAGCTTGAATGGCTCCTCGCCGAGGATAAAGCCGTAGTCGATGTGGAAGAGCTCGGCCGAGTGGGTAAGCATGACGTTACCGCGGTGGCGATCACCGACACCCATGAGGTACATCATGACGGTGTAGACGGCAGTGGAGAGGGCAAAGTCGCGGAGGTAGTCGCGGCCCTTGCGGTTCTTGTTGTGGGCGAGGAGGTAGTGGGTAACTGAAGTCTTGTGCTTGTTGGCAATGTCCTCGAGTGTCTCAGCGTTGGGCACAATCTCGATGTAGCCGCGGTTGCGGCCGGTGGGGACGACTCGGTACTTGACAACGGGAAAGACAAAGCCAGCATCGCGGAGGATAGAGTCCATGACGGCGATGACGTTGACCATGGCCTGGTCACGGCGGAGATCGTCGCCGACCTTGTAGAGGGCATCGTAGGCACGGCGGGTGCCTGAGAGGAGAGGAAGGCGGAGCGGCGAGCGGGCGGAGGAGTAGCGCTTGACCTTGCGGTAGGCGACGCCGTCGATGGAGACCCGCGGGAGGAGCGGGGTGGAGATTGGGGGGCATCGGGGGCAAAGAGGCCGTGCGAGGCAAAGAGATCAGGGATGTCTGCGGGTGAGACCGAGGCAGCGGCGGCGCAGGCGATCTCAAAGCGCTCGGCGTCGAGAAGGGTGGCGGCCCAGTCGGGGTGGACACTGCCGAGGGTGACAAGGAGGGCATGGAGGACGCGGGTGAAGCGGGAAGCGGTGGGCTCGTCGTCTGCGGCTTCTGCGGCGGCGACCTTGAGGGCCCAAAAGGCGTCCGACGCGATGGTGAGCGACTCTGCAGCCAGGTCAAGAACAAGGTCGCCGACAGGCGACGAGGCGAGTGGATCCGAGGCAATGAGGCGGACAAGCGACGGTACAAGGGCCTTGAGGACGGGCTCACGGGCGAGGCGGATAGAAGGGACAAGGGCGGCACGGATGGCGGGATGAGGCACAACCTGGAGTAGCTGAATGACGTCCATGGGCTGGAAGTTCTCGCGGCAGGAGCGGGTGCAGAGGACCGAGGAGCAGCGGAAAACGCGGGGCGAGGAGCTCGGGACCGTCGGTGGGCAGGCAAGCGCAACGAGCTCTGCGACGTGGTCAGGACGCGACCAGTCCGTCACGCGCATGAGTTGGACCATCCATCGGTTGTGGCCAACAAAGTAGGCACGGTTCCACCAGATCATGGCCGCCTCGCGAGCTGAAAAGCTCTGAGACGGGAGGCGATACTGGAGCTGGCGGAGGGCGGAGATGCAGATGGTGGCGGCGCGCGACCAGGTCTTGCACACTTGCGCCAGAACATGGAGGTCACGGAGGTCAAACCTGACAAACTCAAAGACGGCGATGATGCAGCGGACGTCGCGGTTCTGCAGGTCACCGTACCGAAAGGCACAGTCCTGACACACCCGCTCCTTGTCTGTGGGCGGCGAGAGGTAGCGCCAGATCCACGAGGTGATGGAAGCTTGCTGAGCGCGCGAGGGCTTGGGGAACTGGATAAACTCGCGCGGGAGCTCGATGCGCTCCTCGGTGCATGCGCCGCAGAAGATGCGGCCGCAAGCGCGGCAGTGGTGGCGGCGCTCGAGCGTGCCAAACACTCGACCGCAGCCTGGGCGGGTGCAGACGGTCACGGCCGAGTCGTCGTCCCACACCTCGCTCTGCCGCTGTTGGAGGAGCTCGCGCATGGGACGTGAGACCATCTCTGCGTCGTCAAAGTTGAGATCGTTCGAGTTGCTGGGTAAGGCAACCAGCGACGGCCCGGCACCAGACTCCTCCGACCAGCGCAGGCTGGGAAGGCCGCCATCGTCATGGTCGTCGTCCGAGGAGGCCGACGGCGGTGGCGACTGTGACGGCGACGACGGCGCCGGCTGGGCCATCGACCACGAGACGTTATCGGACGGAGCATAGGTTGGCTGGGTGTGCGCAAAGCCATCGATGACTGATGCTGCGAGAGCGGATGCTTGGGGGGCGAGGAGGAGGAGGTGGCGGCGGCGGCGGCCGGCGGTGGCGGCGGGCGTCGTGGAGGAGGCGGGTGCGGGGCGGAGGGGAAGGACGAGAGGTCGGTGGTGCCAAAGGCGAGCGGGAGGGAGGCTGACCAGGCGGGGGTGGGGGCGGGCACAGGCGAGGACGACGAGGACGAGGACGACGAGGATGAGGAGGACGGGGTGGGTGGGAAGGGGTCGCGGTGGGGACTTGGCTCGTCCATGGTCGAGGAGTGTTCGATGAGTGCGTGCGGGTGTCCGTGCGAGGCGTATTTCGAACGGAAGATTGGACGAGTGTGGGATGCGACAGTGTCGGGAGCGGGGATGACGTGTGGGGCGGCGTGGCGTGATCTCAGATGTGGAGGGAGTATGCGTGACGGTATATGACAAGAGGAGGGGACGGGGTGGGGGATGGGTGTGTGTGAGCGTGAGGAGGACGGACTCGTCGCAAGTGTGTGACCGCCGTCCAACTTGGACAGCAGTTTGTCTCAAGCCGCATGTGAGGCCCTGAGGTGCGATTGTGGCACGATCGCCCCTCACCCTGCCACTGGTTGATCATTGGGCAAGTAAAGCCGCTGCATATCGCTTGTCACACGCAGCAGGGCGGAGAGCAGGCAGCGGTGCCGCGGGTAGGGGGTGGCAGGCAGCGGGCAGCAGCGACGACAGATAGGCGGCACGGTTTACTTAACAAAAAACATAGACAAAATCAGCTCCTTTCGTCCGAAAATAATACAAAAATATATACCACATCGCAAAATCATAAATTTAACCAAATATCAACGCCTGAACCATATATTAATATTTTCTCAAGTATCTATTTATATATGTTTATAGAACATGAAATGTTAGACACTCAGGGACGCATTTTCAGATTCGAAAGTCTGCGAACGTTTTGACGACCTTGTGCTTGCCAGAGCAACGCTGACATCTCACAGTACAGATGGTAGAGAAGAAGAGAGACAGCAGAGTATGCTGATGTTCTGAGCTTGGCTATGGATGGTATAGAGAGCGCAAACGAGGCGAAAATAGCCGGCTGGACTCTCGCCGCGACGGCCCAGCCGGCTATTTTCGCCTCTTTTGCGAGACGCCGCGGCACGATGTCTCGCCGCCGATTGCTTCGCCGCGGGCAGGGCAATGCCACTGCCTGCGGAGAAGGACGAGAATAGTCGGGAGACGGACAAGCGTTGACGGTGCGCACGGCATCTGATCGAAATGACTGGACCATGTCTCGAGGCCTGGACGGCGGGAACAGGTCCAGCCGTAGCCGGGCCAATGTGATAAACCCAATAAATACTATGTTGATTCACATCGTTTCCAAGCCTCGGTAGCTCAGTTGGTAGAGCGTGCGACTGAAGTTCGCAAGGTCGGGGATTCGATCACCCCCTGGGGCAAACATTTTTTTGCTCTTCCTCCGACCCTCCCGCCACCTACGACAGCGACAGGATAGCGAGCGATGCTGTCGCACTGACTGCCGCACCTCCCCAACCCATCCGTTCCAGTCATCTCGGGTCTCACCAGCTGTTGCCTGTTTCATGACACTAGCCTGCATCGATGGATGGGATTAGATCTGGCCCGCCGTCTCGTAGCCTTGCGCGCCAACCGCAAGCCTGCCTGCCACCCCACATTGCAAACAGCTCACCTCACCCAACTGCCCTCCCCGTTCTCCCCCCACATCCCCGGCCCCCCCCCCCCCTCCCCCCCCCCCCCCCCCCCCACCGGCCACCCTTTCACCATGACCACCCCCCATCCACCTACCTTTGCCATTCAGGGCACCCCGCTCGCCCTCTCGACCTCCTCGGACTCATGGGTCCGGAAGACGCCGACGCACACCCACCCACCGTCGCGGGCCACAGTCCTTGCTGCGCTCCCCCCCAGTCCGGCCACGCTCCCCCCACGTCGGCCGCACCTGTCGAGCACCGGTCGGCTACGTCCCAGCCTCCGCGGCAGTCTGGTCGGGTCCTTGACGGGTTCCTCCTGCTGCGGCTGGCGCACGCGGTGGACCCTGCGCGGGTGGTGGTGGCCTCGGTGGCCGGGGCGGGGCTCTCGACGGCGGCGGGTAGCGATCTCGAGCTCTTCACCCACCTCCGCCGGCTTGACGCATCAGATAACGATGGATTGGATCTGGAGGCGCTGGCCGGCCTGCGGGCGCTGGAGTCGCTTGATCTGAGCTGCAACGGGTTGTGCGAGCCAGTTGTTCCTCCCGCACCAGCGCTCACCTCGCTCGCGGTCCTCTCGCTCGCTGCCAACGAGCTTACACCCGCAAGCATTCTTCGCCTTTCCGCGCTCTCTTCGCTCACCTCGCTCGATGTGTCGGGCAATGGGCTCACCGATGTGCCTGCCGACTGGACGGGCTTCACCGCACTCACTACCCTTGTGGTGGCGGACAATGAGCTGGAGGATCCAAGGGCGCTCCTCGCGCTAGCGTCGGCGCCGGCGCTAACGTCGCTTGATCTGGCTGGCAACGGTCTGCCGTACGTGCCCAGCTTTTTGCTGCGGGCGTGGAGTCGCCGTTCCCGGCGCTGACCTCCATTGATGTTAGGCGGACGGCGGTGCGGTCAGGCGACGACCTGGTGGCACTCGCACAGACGCGTGTTCTCTGCAAGGTGGTCTCCGACCTCGGGCGGAGCACACTAGGTATGGCCTCTCTCAGTGCGCTCTTTTCGCTCCACGATCCGCCCATTGTGTTGGAGGGCGCAGCCGGGGCTGGGCCGCGGCCAATGCGGGTTGGGACTCGGGTTATCCGCGAGGGCAAGTGGGACGCACTCCGCCGCTCTGCCGCCAAGCAGCGCCGCGCGAGAAAGGCGTGGAGCCACCAAGAGTGGATGGAGATGGACTCGGCGCGGACAGGCGCGGATACCCGTGTCACGATCACTTCACCTCCGCCGGTTGCTGATGGTGCAGGCTTTTTCGTGACGCAGCTCGGCCTGGAAGAGGAGCTCAAGGTGGCGAGCAGGGGAAAAGTGCCAAGCAAGCGCGAAACGCCCGACAAGGGCGAGACCGAGGCCGAGGCCGAAGCGCTGGGACGTGCGCTGACATCACGGATGGCCGAGACGCTCTCGCTCGGACTTGGCGAGCGAGAGCCTGCCGAGCCGACCGAGCTGTCTGCAACGCTCGAGGCACTGCGGTTTGCGCTCGATCATCCGGTGATCGGTGACGTCGGCCGCGGCGCCGGGCCTGAGCTCGATGGATATGCCCGTGGAACACACGCATCGCAGCGTGCCAGAGCATTGGCGCGGCGCGGGCGCGGGCGCGGGCGCGGCAGGCCAGAGCGTGATATCGGAACCGCCGACGTCAGCGAGTACGAGGGCGCGGAGGAAGGAACTAGCGGCAGGCACGGTGCAGATGATGTCGAGGAAGGAGTCGACGTCGCCCAGCTCATGGCAGACATGCGCAAGCGGCTGGCGGGCGTGGAGGCGCGGATTGACGCCGTGTTGGCGAGTCATGACGACGAGTAAACCGCCTTTGGCGGCCAGCAGCAGCCTCATTGACTGTACGCCCAATGTGGCGATGGCGGTGGCTGCGTTGAACGAAATAATGGAAGTGAATATGTTGCCTCATGCCCGCATCATCCATCACATGCTCTGCGTGAACTTGTTGCGATGATTGCGAGGGGAGGGTCGGAGAAAGAGCAAAAAAAATGTTTGCCCCAGGGGGTGATCGAATCCCCGACCTTGCGAACTTCAGTCGCACGCTCTACCAACTGAGCTACCGAGGCTTGGAAACAGGGTGCCATCCTTGGCAATTTGTACTGTTTATTGCATTGCTCCCCGTGCGCGTTCTGTGTGCGCGGCCATGATAGCTGACGACGGACAGCAAGCAGGTGGTGGGGACAGGCAGGGGTGCTCTTGGACGATAACAGCACCTTTCTCTGACCGTTGTTGGGCAACACTTGCGCCCAGCTCCACAGCAACGGTTACTTTTACACAGCCGCACCATCCCCTGCATCGCCCTCCTCTTCCTCAAACACAACGGTGACGAGCACAACCGCCCCGTTGGCGTCGGTCACCGAAATCTCCGTCCCGCTCGACACAACCTCGCTCAGGGTCTTGTCCAAGTTGGCCTGGGTGAGCTTCTTCAGCGGTCCAGTCTCCATGTACAGAGTCTTGCCTCCACCGCGAAGCGAGGGCGAGACGAGCTGCAGGGCGGCGTCGTCGACCAGTGACGAGCGGAGCTCGCCCAGAGTCATGAACCGGCCGCTAACAACCTTGGTGATGCGGCAGAGGCCGCAGACAGAGCACGACTCGTCGCGCTCCCAGGCAAAGGTGCGGGTGTTGATGCCCGAGTCGCCAATGTACATAAACCAGTTGTCGAGGTAGCTTGCGCAGTTTGTGGCGATCTTGATAGCCTCGAGGACGCAGGCGCCGGCAATGAGGGCATTTGTCGAGGCGATGGCAGGAATGATGTTCTTCATCACGCCCTGGGTCAGCTGGTAGGTGATGCCGGTGATGCCGTACTCGGCGCCGCGGGCAGCAGCGGCGGTCATGACCCAAGTCACATCCTCGACGCTATCCTTGTCGAGCACACGGTCACTGCCAAACTCGGCCTCCCACAGGACGTTCATGGCGTAGGCGATGCAGTGCTCGGGCTTGCGCGGCGTGTTGGCGATGGTGCAGAGCTGGAAGGCGCGCTGTGGGGGAAAGGCCGAGATGGAGCACTGGAAGCAGGCGGAGATGCGCGGGAGCATGACTCGGGCCTGGCCCTTAAAAGCCTCGGTCCCGCCATCGATGAGCGGGATGACGGTGGACATGTCGACGGCGCCGCTCGCGTCGGTTGCGGCCAGCGAGACCAGCTTGGCCGAGATCCACGAACGGGCCTTGATAGAGTCGAGGCCAGCGATGATGAGGTTGAAGGAGCGGTAGAAGGCATCGTCCTCTCCTGGATGGCGCAGGTGTGGGCCCGGACCGAGACGCCGGGGCAGCGGGCCTCGACAAAGGCGGCTGCCACGTCGGCCTTGTACTTGCCCACGTCGGCTGCGCGAAAGAGGAACTGCCGGTTGAGGTTCGACACGTCGATGGTGTCCATGTCGATGACCTCCAGCTCGCCAAAGCCAGACTTGGCCAGGCTGTGCAGGAGCTCGCACCCGAGCCCGCCGGCACCGATGACAAGCACCCGCACCGAGCTGTGCACAAACTCGCGGAGCTCCACGCAGGCCTCAAAGCCAGCGTTGGCAAACGGCCCGCTCCGCGTGAGGAGGTGGTCGAGGTCGAAGAAGGGAGAGTCCATGGGGCGGGGTGGTGGGGGTGGGGGGTGGGGTGGTGGGGGTGGGGGTGGGGTGGTGGGAGGTGGGGGTGGAGGAGGAGGAGGAGGA